ATAAATTTTTCATTGATTTGTATTTTTTTTTTTTAAACTTGTATTAAAGTGCAATTTTTCCTAAAAAAATTTGGCCCGTAACAATAATACATGCTTTGATTACTGATGGTTGAATTTGGAATTTGGAATTTGGAATTTGGAATTTTGACTTTGGACTTTTTTTTTTTAGATGGGAGACTTTGGACCTGTGTAGCTATTTTTACGGTGAAAGATTATGGATTTAAATTTCATGAAAAAGAATTTAATATTATTTGAGAGGTTTTTTTCGCAGTTATTATGGACATATATGCAGTTGTTCATTTTTTTATTTTTTATTTTTTTTTAAGTTTAGACTATTTCTTGTGGTGATTTCAGCTATTGTTGGACTGTTACAATTTATTGTCCAATTTGATTTATGTTAGAAAAATTTTGGAAATTTTAAAAGTTTTACTAAATTTTCTATCAAATGTCTTACATGAGTGTGAGACTTTAGTAGAAAATTTGATAATTTTTTTGAGATTTCTAACATTATTGTTTATGTTATATTTGTAATTACGTTTTTATTGATTGAATTTTTTTTTACATAATCTGGGATTGATGTGGCAGGATAATCACTTAAAAAATGCTAATTACATAAACGAGACTATTGTATAATTTTACAAATTCTATACATATTTTTTGTTTGAAAAAAAAAAAAAAAAAACAAATTCATTTAAGAATGGTTTGGGAACAAATTAAAAAAGCCAAAAACTAAAAAAATTATATAAATTATCACATTACTTTTTATTATATATTTTATAAAAACTAAAAATAAAAATAAAAATAAAAACAAACTCCAAACAACCGCTTATCGTATAAGTTCATGCGCTGTAACATTAATTCGAGCCAGACTAATGTACATGTTGTCCCACAATTATCCCCACTACCCTCCCACTAATAACAATCATGCTGGGACCCCGTGGGGTGACCCCAGCACCCCACCTCACGTAGAAGCTGCCAGTAAAAGTTAAAAAAAATGGACCAATTAAAAAATTGTGAGAGTGGTGGGGTCACCTCTATCGGAGTCTAGGATATTTTTTCACTAATAATATGATTAGTACAGTTATTACATATATTAGTTAATGTATTAATATTCGACAATGCTACGTAACTCAAATTTTGTGGCTCAAAAGTGACTCAAATGGCCAAAATAACGTCGTTACAGAACAACATAAAAATGGCCAAAACGACGTCGTTTTGACCATTTGAGCCACTTTTAAGCCACAAAATTTGAGTTACGAAACATTTTCAAAAACTAAAAAAATTATATAAATTATCACATCATTCACATTACTTTTTATTATATATTTTATAAAAACTAAAAATAAAAATAAAAATAAAAACAAACTCCAAACAACCGCTTATCGTATAAGTTCATGCGCTGTAACATTAATTCGAGCCAGACTAATGTACATGTTGTCCCACAATTATCCCCACTACCCTCCCACTAATAACAATCATGCTGGGGACCCCGTGGGGTGACCCCAGCACCCCACCTCACGTAGAAGCTGCCAGTAAAAGTTAAAAAAAATGGACCAATCAAAAAATTGTGAGAGCGGTGGGGTCACCTCTATCGGAGTCTAGGATATTTTTTCACTAATAATATGATTAGTACAGTTATTACATATATTAGTTAATGTATTAATATTCGACAATGCTACGTAACTCAAATTTTGTGGCTCAAAAGTGACTCAAATGGCCAAAATAACGTCGTTACAGAACAACATAAAAATGGCCAAAACGACGTCGTTTTGACCATTTGAGCCACTTTTAAGCCACAAAATTTGAGTTACGAAACATTTTCTATTAATATTAGTTATAATATTATTATTAATTTTACTCTAATATTATTATTAATTTTACTCATTATATAAATTATAAATATTAAAAATTTCTTAAATTATATTACATCACTAATTAATATACTAATTAATATATATATCATTATTCTTATTAGGCATGTCAGATCACATCAAGCTCAACACAGTATAGTCAGACTCGATGTGCATTTGGGAGTTTTCTTAAGTGTGCAAGTGCACACCATGTGCCACTTACACAAAAAGTGTAAGTGTAAGGTGTAAGTATAAGTATAAGGTATAAGTGTAAGGTGTAAGTGTAAGGTGTAAGGTATAAGTGGGTTGCACATGGTGTGCAACCTCAAAAAAGGTGTAAGTGTAAGGTTTAATTTTTTACAAAAGGTGTAAGTGTAAGGTGTAAGTGTAAGGTATAAGGTGTAAGGTGTAAGTTGCACACCATAACCAAACCCGTGGATTTGGGCCAACATCACATCTCCTCTCCTCTCTCACAACATTATTATTATTATTGTTAGGACAAATTACATATACCTCTCTCGAGATTTAATTAAATTATAAATATCATTCTGAAATTTTAGAAATTACAGATATTCTTAAAATTTATATTTTTATAACAAATTGCTCACTAAGGTTTATATTTTCATAACTATTTACTCCCTAATTTATTATGTAAATATAACTTTCGGGAATATCTGTAATTTCTCAAATCTTGGAGGTATCTGTAATTTTACTAAACCTCGAGGGAGGTATATGTAATTTTCCCTTATTATTATTATTATTATTATTATTTAACAAATGTTGGGTAAAATAGAAATACATTTTTTAAGATTTATTTAAAGTATAAATTTTAAAAATTATAAATACACTCTTATTAGAATTTTTTATTTAACAAAATTAACTAAAAAAAATAAAATTTATAAGTGTTTTTTAATACAATAATAAAATTATCTAAATTATTAATTAAAACATATTTCTAATATCATTAAAAATTATTAATTGATTTCATGATTTATTAATAAAATGGACAATTTGTTACTAAATTAGAAACATCAAGAGAAATATAATTTTCAAAAAATAACAAGGGTGATTCCGGTGTATTTATAATTTACTCAAAAATGTTTAGAAGGATCTAAATAAATATATTTTTTTTAATTTTTATAAAAAAATATTAAAAAAAATAGAAAAGTAAGGGGTCGTTTGGAATGTTTTAAATAAATATACTTTTTGATTTTTTATAAAATATGAGTTGAATTTGAAATGATGTGATAGAGAAGTGATATGACTTAAATAAGATAATATAATTTAAATAAGATAGTGATTTTTTTAACTTTTTTTAAAAGATGTCAAACTTAGTCTAAGATGACCAATATATATATGAAAATGCCTAAGACCCCCAGCTGGGAGTGCTGGGGGTTGTGCGTGTAGCCCACTGATTTGGCCAAAAAAAACAATTTCTTTTTTTTTTTTCAACGAATAGAAAGCCGCCACGTCAAAAAAAATTCATTGATTTAATAACGGCCCATATATATATATATATATATATACTAATATAAAAAATATCAAATTTTGCGTCGGAGGTCATAATTTGGTGCGGAGACTCATGCCCGTCGCGAAACATGAATATTTACCTTCCTAGTTGAGTGAAATGATTCGGGAGTAGACTAATTAAACTAACCTAGTTAGATTGTTGCATCAACATCACGACAAAGCTATTCTAGAAAGAGCTGGGAGTGCCTCTAATCATTGATTGGATTAAAGAGGACTGTTGGATTCGTACGAACTTAATAAAGTTTTTATTTCAATAATTCAAACCGTTCAATATGTAAAATTCATCGAGTACTGTATGTCTATAAAATATTATGTTGATCAGATATCGATAGTTATCTCGTCGGAGTAGATTTTTATCAACCTTTTTTTTCACAGTCCATTTTTTTTTATACAAAACTAATTTGATCACGTAGCTATCGATATCCAATCAACGCGATTTTTTACAAGCATATAGTACTTGATGAATTCTACACATTAAACAGTTCAAATTATCAAAATGGGACTTGTAGTGAGCCCCTACGGATAGGGACGAAATTAGGATTTCTTTACCAGAGGGGCTGAACAAAAAAAATTACCATATACACAAATACACATGTATCTACAATATGATATATAAATTATACATACATAAAAAAAAATTAATACTATAGAAGGAATCTCTAATAGAATAAAAAAGTTTTTTTAGTACAAAATAAAAAAAGATGATAAGATGGAAGAATAATAAGATATATATATATATATATATTATAAAGGATATGCATATATATATATATATATATTTAAAGTGCTATAGAAATAGGAGAGTTATAGCTCTCATAGTCTTCTTCTAATTCCATTCCTACCTACGGATCTAACAATGCTCTCTAATCCGATCATGAACTGAAACGAAACCAACCCCTTCTAGAAATCATTGTGCATATTGGGATACACTGAGAAAGTCTTTTTAAGTCAGCTCACAAAAAATCTTGTCTCTGTTCCTTTATTTTATTTTTTCTTGTCTTAAAATATTAATTTTTTTAATTTTAAATTAAAAATTAAAATAATATGAATTATTTATTTTATTCTTTTTTTAATTCATTAAAATTAATATATACAAAAAGTATAATTATGACAATTATACTATCAAAGAATAGTTTTGGAAAGTAAATATTTTTTAAGTATAATAATTATATTATTAAAAAACAATTAAATTATCCAAAAGAGACTAATATTTTAAAACAGAAAAACATATAAATATATCGACTTAGTTTGACAATTGGGTTAAAAGTTAAAAGTTAATTTTTTAACTTTTCAGATCATATTATCTTTTTATTTTTTTATATATATTTTTAAAAAAAGATTATAAAAAAAAATTAACTTTAAACTTAGTTTTTAAAATAGGCCATGAGCTATATTAGAAATAAAGCTATCCAGTATTGCTGAGAGTTGGGATCTCCTATAGTCACACAATTTTACATTTAATTACTGTAATTTTTTTATTTAAAAGAAATTAAATTGTGTGCCTATAAGTATGTAGGTGGGAAGACTTTTTTAAACTGATGATGACATCCCATGGTTGAATAGTATTCAAAAATCAAAGGAACAAACCCTCCTCCATCCCCACATCATGGACTATATGTACCCACTTCTATTATCTCCAACCTCACAAAAAACTAGGGGAAAAATGAGGTTTTGGATACTAGTTTTGTTCTCAATCCTCTCCTTCTCCCTCGTCGCCTTGGCTCAACAATGCGGTAGCCAAGCTGGAGGAAAACTATGTGCAGGAGGGTTGTGTTGTAGCCAATATGGCTACTGTGGCAACACCTCGCCGTATTGCTCTACTGGCTGCCAGAGCCAATGTAGCCCTGGCGGTGGAGGATCCCCGTCCACTCCATCTACACCAACACCGACCCCGAGTGAAGGTGATATTAGCTCTATCATTAGCCGTAACCTCTTTGATCAGATGTTGAAGCACCGTAATGATGCCAATTGCCCCGGTAAAGGGTTTTACACTTATGATGCTTTCATAGCTGCTGCCAAGGCTTTTGGAGGTTTTGGAACCACTGGAGATATTGTGACTCGCAAAAGAGAGATTGCGGCCTTTCTAGGCCAAACTTCACATGAAACTACAGGTAAAATCTTTCACAGTTCGTCATGTTTTTCAATCCTTTTAAGTGAAATAGGTGAATTAAATTTATGACATGAAAAAAGAGAGGAACATATAATGAAAAGAAACACAATTGATGGATTTGTATATGATTAAAACATGTATAGGTGGGTGGCCAACTGCGCCGGATGGCCCATATGCATGGGGATATTGCTTTGTTAAGGAACAAGGGAACCCTGGGGACTATTGTGTTGCAAGTCAACAATGGCCGTGTGCTCCTGGTAAAAAATACTATGGTCGAGGTCCCATCCAAATTTCATAGTATGTAAACTTTTTCCTCTCTCTCTTTCAACTCTATCACGCTTTTGTTTGTTTCAGCAACGAATATTTTTTAGTAACTTTTATTTTATTTATTTTTTATTTTTTATATTTTATATTTGATTGCGAGGTTAAATTAATATATTAATTGTAATAGGGACAGTGTCAAAGGTAATGATGAGGATAGTAGAGATGGTGGTAGGGACAAGGGAGCATACTCTTCCACCTTCTAAAATTTATATTTTATAAGTAGTGGCGGAATCAGAAAACTAAATTAGAAGGGGTATTTATTGATTATAATTTTATTTTTTTTTCATAACCAACAATAAGAAGATAATAATAATTTTTGAATTAATATTAAGTACTAAAACTTAAATAAATTATTACAAAAGTATTTCACATAAAATTTTACAATTAATTTCGAGTAAAATCGAAAAGAAAATATTGCGTGTAACTAGTGTATTACGGACAATGTATTAAAATCATATATTTAAGTCTTAATATAAATTATATAATAGTAAGATAAATCAAATTTTTACAAAATTTGAGTAAAAATTTCATATAATAGTGATATCACGTCATTATTGACATATGATATTACCAACCAATAGTAAAACAACATATGAAGGGTGAACTCTACATGCAAATATAACTCATACTCTAGTAATTTTTACATATATACATACATATATATATATATATTTGCATATTAATAATGATGGTTATTACCTCTATATTGAGATATTTTCACAAAATTTTCATACATAAAAATATAATTTGTTATAGTCAGTTTATTTTCAATAAAACAATCACTATTATTCTCATAAATTTAAAAATACCCTTGACATTTTATTCTAAATGTTATTTTTGTTCAAAATTTTATTATATACATATGCAAAATAAAAAAATATATATATAAAAAATATATAAAAAAAAAAACCAAGGAAGGCACGTGACCCCCTGGTCACATGGTGGCTCTGCCAACGAGTATAGGTTTATAATATAGTTGTTTTATTTATGGTTTCTAAATTTGAATTTATACTTTTATTTTGTCTTTATTTAAAAAAAAAAATCCATGATTTGCATCATTTAAATATTTCTTTTATAATGAAATCAACCTTTAAATGTTTATTTTTTATTCTTTCTGATAATACTTCTTAATTTATTTTTATTAGATTTTTGTGTGTGTACGTGTGAGATAAATTTGTGTACAAATATGTAGAATGTTTACTTATTTTTTTGATGAAATCTCTTAATAAAATACTTGTTTTTCTTTGGGAATGACCATCATAGTTCAAATCGGTGTCATGGTTAGAGTCGGAAATTAAGTTTGTTAGAGTTGCGGCATGCGGGAGTTGGGGACACTATTATAGACATAACATTTTACTTTATTATTATTTCTTTTAAGTCAAAATCTTGGCTCCAGCCACAAATGGGGGTTGTGAGGTAGTCATTGTGGGGGAAATAGTGGAGGTGGAGTGGTGGTGACAATGATGGTGGTAGTAGGATGGTGGTGCTGGTGCTAAAGTGGTAGAGTGATAGTGGCGGCGGCAATGGGGTGAGATTTGTCAGGATGGTGTGCCATATAATTTTGCATTCCAAAAAACTAAAGAAAATAAAATTTGAATAAAACTACTAATATATTGTTTGTTTTAAATGCAAAAATCACATTAGGCCTCCACTCCACTTGAGCCGCCCTGTTACAAACATAATCTTTCATATTTTTAACTTTGATCATTGGCTATTTGGTGAAATACAACACAAAATCTAGAGCAATACTTGGTAATTTGAATATGAGCTTAGCTCAAATGGCTCAAAATTTACCTTACCGATCGTCTAGACGGATGTTCAGTCAGTCGTCCAGCGAAGAGGCTGACAGTCGCAATAAACAAAGGTGACAACCACGGCAGACAATCTTTCATCCGGTCGTCCGAGCGGGATCCGGCCAACACCCATTCGGCCCATTCAAGTCCCCTCCAATTTGAGCTACCAAGCTTTTTTCCAAAATCTAACAGATAAATGCAGGGGCGGCTCCAAGGCTTGGCCAGGGGTGTCACCCGAACCCCCTGGCTGAATTATTATTATTATTATATAAATATTAGATTTTAGGAAAAAAATTAGTAATTGAACCCACTAAAATACAATTTTGAACTCATAGTTTTAAATCCTACTCTTTTGAACCCACTATTTGATAGTATTGATAATGAGCTTATTATTCAACGATTTCAAAATATGAAATCTCGTCGTGGTCAATTGTAGAACCTCGTGTATTAGCATGTCTTTTTGCTTAAATAATAGTATCAATATATTGAAATATTTTTGTTTATAATTTTAGAATTTAAATTAATTTGTTGATTTTTTTCTCCATATGTGATATAATGATTAATGTGAATTTTCTGTAAGATATGGTATTTAAATTTTTGATTGACACCAACAAAAATTCCTGGAGTCGCCACTGGACATAAATATGACTTAATACAATACACGATGCCTATATTTAATTTTAAGAAGCTAATTGGTTATTTTAGGATATAATTATGTGATGTCTCAGATAAATTGTGATAGATAAAGAAGATAAGATTAATGATTTTAAGTTCGATGATTTGTGAATAAAAATAACCTCGATAAATTAACATGTCAATGTGAATATTCACATTGTTAACGGGCCGGGCCGGGCTGGTCCCTCCCGGGCCGCGGGCGGGCTTTTGGCTGTCCATGGGCCGCGGGTCAATTTTATACTCTTATCAATGTGAATGTTAACATGTCAATGTGAATATTCACATTGTCAACGGGCCTGACCGGGCCCGCGGGCCAATTGTATACTCTTATCAATGTGAATGTTAACATGTCAATGTGAATATTCACATTGACATGTTAAAATTCACATTAATAGGAGTGTAAAATCGGCCCTCGTCCCGTGGCGGCGCGAAACCCGCCCGTGGCCCATGAGCTACCATCAAATTGCCATGCACCCATTCTTACTAATGTGAATTTTAAAATATGAATGTTCACATCATTAAATTGCTAATCGTTCAAAAAATATTTATAAGGATATCAAAATTAAATATAAGGGCATAAGTGTCCAAAAAAATAGTGTAAATCAAGAAAATGAACTTTATGGAATAAAACTATACATACATAGGACTAAATGGGTTAAACAATTCCTTCATGGACTTCTTGAGTTAAAACACTTCTAAATTGGACTTATCAATAAAAATCCCATTAATTTTCTAAAAAATTAAATTTTTTATTTTTTATTTATTTTTTTTTTAGTAAATTTTTTTTAATATTTGAAATAATTTTTTTAGTGTTTAAATATACATAACTTAGATACACCTAAAAAAATAAAACATTTATAAAAAATATTTTTTCACTTGCCATGGGCCTATCATTTCACTTTCACATATCATTTCACCTAAAAGGTAAAACATTTTCCACACCATCTCAAAAGTTGAGCGCATTGGCATAGGGGCTCCAATTGTCGAGCCATGGGCTTCTCAATTGGCTCCACAATGGATGATCCACTGTCATGAACTCCATGTTGAACTTGGGCACTTCAAGCTCTGTTAAGTTGTCTTTCATGGACCCAAATCCAATTGATGAAGAAGGTAAGGAAACTTTGCTCTCATGCTCTTGTTCTTCTTCTGTCTTGAAAACAATGTCCTCCTCTAGGGGCACTGTTAGTGCCACAAAGCTTTCTTGTGGGTTGGTGCTAGAAAAGTTTCCCTGTGATGGAGGAGACGGTGGATTCGGATGGGTTGTCCTTGATTTTTCTTCCATGGCTGCCCTTTCCTCCAAAACTTTCAAAGAGGTTGCTTTTCTGTAAATCTTGCAAAGCACTATATCTTCCTGCATCCTCATCATACAACCAAAAATCAATACACCAATAACATGTTATTTTTTATTTTATTTTAATAATACAAAGATTTTTTTTTAAAATTTTTTTCGATTTTTTATTTTCCATTTAAAAGAAACCTGCATTTTTTGAAAATATTAAAAAGTTGTTTTTGAATTTTTAAACTGTTTTTGGGAAAGGAAAAAAAAAAAACAGAAGATGATTTGTAAACCGTCATTGTTATATTTTCAGAAACACGAAAATAATAAAAATAAAAAAGAAAAATAAAGGCAACGAAAACAAATCTAAAAATATAAATTTTTTTATTTAGAAATATTAGAGATTCACAAATTAAATCCCTAATTCATCTACAATAATGTCACGAGGGAATTGAGACTTGATTTTCTGACAAATTAAAATTTTACACATAATATATCATGTAATTATGAGTCAAATTAAAAAAAACTACTTAAAATGATTTATCATCAAATTATCTTACCAAAAAATTAATAGTAATCATATTAATAAAAACACATCGGAACCACACATTTTTTTAATGGTAAAAAAAAATTATACAAAAATTGTGCGCATGTATATATATATATATATATATAATATTTTTCTTTTTTTGAAAAGTATAGTTTTAAAATAAATTGGGAAGCAAGTTCCCTCTAGTGTGTTGTTGGATTTCAATGAGCCCATTATGGAATTCGCCTCCATAAGTTGAATCGTTAAGTTTTAGCACCCTTTGATTAGATCAATCATATAAAAAATTAAGTTGATTGAATAATTATTCTCACTTGATTAAATCACATTTATCATTTAAAAAATAAATGGTAAGTATAATTATGAAAATAGACTGTCAATTATTTTGAAGACAAAATGTGATTTATATGGATATAGTAATTTAATCAACTTTAATTTTTGTATAAATAAATTTTCAAAGAGTACTAAAAAATGAACGATTTAAATTATTAAAGTGGACCTATGATGAGCCCACGGAAACCCAATCACACCTTGCAATTTCCAACCGAAGAGAATTTGTTATCAATAAATTACATGCATTTCACTTTTTGAATAATTTTTTTTATTTGTAAACAATACTAAGGATCTTCATATTGTGTTTAGTTTATGAATTTGAATAATAACTTCAAAAAAAAAAAAGAAAAAATGTATGTAAAATTTTATTTATATTTTACCTACTTTTTTTAATTTCTCTATTCAAATTTATAAACTAAACCCAGATGGATAACATGCAATACCATTGAGGAGCAGTGATCAGAAAGTCTATACTCATTCATGACCCAATCAGTCTTGGACCCTCTCGGTGCTCTGCCTTTGTAGAAAACCAAAGTCTTCCTAAGGCCCAGAACTTTTTTCAGGTCAGTGGAGCTCCGAATCGGACGGTCCGAACCCGTAGCCTTCCAAAAGCCTTTGAGAGTGGTTCGGTTGGGCCTCCCACCATGACCATGTCTTCTATCTCTTGGCACAAAAAAATACCACTCTCTCTCCCCTATCTTTGCATATCCTGCGCATCTCACACATTACAACATGTCTTATGTTAGTCCAACATTAAGGGCATGTTTGATTGGATGGATTAGCACATGGGATTGAGATTATTAATCCGTGGGTCCAATTATCTATGTTTGTTTTAACATTTTGATTTAGGATTATTAATCCAATGGATAATTAGTCTAATAAATTTGTAAGATTATTAGTAATGGGGTAAGGATGGGATTATTAATCCAATCGATAATTTATCCAATTAGATAGTGAATACCACACTAATTTGACAGAATTATTAATACCTCACTATTAGTCATGCAAATCAAACATGACCTAAGAGCATTCATTTCAAAATGAGAAATTATATATAAATAGATAAATTGTACATAAGTATTATATATAATAGAGTGCTATTTTCATTTAAAAATATAATACTCATTATTAATTTATAAATATGCTACTGACACATCATTCTTATAACAAATTATGAATAATAATTTTTCTTTGCAAAATAAGCAAAACTCATCAATATTATGAGCATTGTAAAAATAAATAAAAAAATTGTAGTGATATGATATACATCAACTATTTTGGATTATAATTTCAAAAATCTCACTATCACATCATTTTGATTATTATTATTATATAAATTATGTGTTTGAATTATTAATTTTTTTTACGAGAAAAATCCCAGTGGTGCAGTAAAACAAACAGAACTACATAATTATAGATTAGTCAAAGTCAATACCCAAATTGAGAATTATTATTATTTTTTTTTCAATAACTTGTACTTTTCCAATGGAATTGTAATTACAAAAAAGACTTAGGCCCCTTTTTGGAAGCAACTCCCACGACCTCCTCTACCTTTCATTGGTCAAAAAAAATTTTCTTTTTTTTTTTCTTCTCCCCCACTCACCAACCCCTACGTGTGTGTGGGGGGTGGTGGAGGTGAGAATCTGAGGGGGTCTGTATCGCCACTGTTGTGATTAAGTCCTATGGGAATTGTTTTTAAGGTATATGATATTAAGATTTTATAAGATAAAGAATATATAATATTTTCATAGTAATTAAGATTCCTTATTATTTTTATAGAGAAAATTTGATTCAAAAAAATTTCTTCTGACACAGAGAAATTTCTCTAATCTCACAGCAAAATTTCATTGAGAGGCCTTAATAAATAAAAAAATATTTTGAACCTCTTCTAATATAAAGTTGAAAAGGGATGTTCCACTAATTTTTCCCAAGTCCTAGTACTAAATAAAAATTTTCAAAAAAAAAAAAAGAAAAAAGGAGAAGTTACAAATCAATGTGAGGAAGACCAAATAATGAAAAAAAATATGGAAATTTTTGTAGGGTGCAGTTTCTTATGTGTTTTTCTACACAAAAAAGACATACAACCGCGATGTAGTTGTAATTATTTTTTTGTCAAATACCCTGATTTGTAGTTGCTTTATTTAATTTTTTTCCCAAAAAACAAAACGAAGAAAAAGAAAAGAATGAATCAAGGTTATGTAGTTGTGGAGTGGAAGATTGATTACCAGGCAAATCCCAAGGTTCGTGGTGGTAGATGTTGAGAAAGCCAATGATATCAAAACTGAGTTTATTACCCATTGCTATCCTTTTAAGGTAGCAGTTTAGTAGTTCTTCTTCTGTTGGGTGGAACCTGAAACCTGGTAGCTCCACCTCTGCCACTGTTGTTTTCTTCTCCATTTTTTTGCTGGTGAGTCAGTGATGAGACTTTAAGTAGTGCTTGGTTGGTGGGTTTGGTTTTTGGTGATATCTGATAGCAATGCAATTAAATTTGCGTTCTGCATACACTCCCTTTATAGGGGATGAAGGTGTGTGTGTTGTGTGTGGGTGTGGGAGAGAAAGAGAGGTCTTGAAGGAAGTGGGAAATTGGGGCAAGTCATAGCATGGGTTGGTCCACACGCTTCCACCCCGCAGTGGCCCATTGGTGAGACCAGACTGGTCACACTGGTCTTCCTTAATAAACAAATACAATTGATTCTCTGTAATTAAATATATATCAAAATATTTATAATTATTAAATTACGTAAATTTTGAAATGCAAAAATCTCTCAATATGATTAATCTCTCAATAATACAATATCCTATTTCGGTCACAATTATTTTATTTGGATCATATAATCTCTATATCATATCACTTCAAATTTAATTCATATTTCACATTTTATCTTAAAATGTTAAAAAAGTATACTGATCTAACACTTCCCAAATAACTCCTGAATATAAGCTCAATTTTTTCCCCATTTCCTAATTTAATTTCAAATTTTTATCCAAATTAATGATTCAAACATACCGTAAGCGCATAGAATATTTGAATGTCCATTTCTTGTGTTCATTTGTTTTGTATCAGTATTTCTTTGAAAAGACAAAATTAGCTCCACAATGATATCGTTTTAGAATTGACTTGTTAAATAATTTTTGGGCAAATTATAAACACCCCTCGAGGTTTGGTAAAAATACAGATTTCTTCTTTAGATTTGAGAAATTACATCCCGCCCACTGAGATTTATATTTTCATAACAAATTGCCCCTTGAGGTTTTTATTTTCATACAGATTCTCCTCTAATTTTTCCTAATTTGTTATGAAAATTTGACCCTCACTAGGCAATTTGTAATTTCTCAATCCTTAGGGAGTAATCTGTATTTTTACCAAATCTCGAGAGGGTGTTTGTAATTTGCCCATAATTTTTTGACTTTTTCATTAGATGCTAATAATGTGTTTGTGAATGATTTGCTTTTTTCTTTAATTATATCGAAAATTATGATTAACTGAAAATATTTTTCTCTTTTTTTAATAATTTTAAATTTTTTTAACTTTTTTTTGTGATTTTTTATTTTTTTGAATTAATTATTTTAATAAAAAAACTAAATTGCCAAACAGGATTTTGTAACTGAAAATTTGTGTTTGGAACGATTTCCAAACTGTAATTCTACCCACACATTCTAATATGATGTTTGGATAGAATGTTCAAACTATATTTCCACAATATTTAGAAAACTCTGCAGAAAACTCTATGCAATTGACACATGTTAATTTTTATATATTCAAAAAAAATATTTTTGAATTTTTAAAAAAATTTTGTGAGCTTTAATAAATTTTGAGTCTTGTGTTTGATTATGAGTTGTAAATTTTTGTATTAAATGTCACATGTCACATCAAAAATTTCCCACCCAATTCAAAACTCTTCCACCAAATAAATTTTTCATACTCAAATTATAATTATAAAATTCACAAACTTAAAATACAACTCCTATTCTCAAATCATATTTAAAAAATACTACCAAATGCTACCTAACATTTTAAAATTCACACTCATACAAGAATTCTCCATTACTTGTAAGGTGGGGATAGTTATTTTGGGAGTGAATTTTCTCGGGTCCATTCATGGGCTCACCATGGTTTCACTCTGGTGATTGGAATTGTTAATTTTATAGGGTTATATGTAGATTATTTATCAAAATAATTAAATTGATCCAATATTTAATTATATAATTTATTATATTTATTTTCAAACAAATTTAAAAAATAAATATAACTTTGCAATAGATCATATTTTTTTAAAAATAAATTTAATAAAAATTATAATTATCAAATCAATCTGATAAATATATATTCTAATAAATAGAACAATTCAAATTGATGGAGTAAATCCATAGCCCCACGACTCTAAAGCCCCGTTTGGGAATATGTTAATTTAGTAATTTTTTGATTATTTGACTAAAATATGAGCTAAAAAAAACTAGTATGTTTGTGATGACTTTTTAGCTTTTTACGAAAAGATGTGCAAAAAGTAAAGAGAAAAGATAATCTTTGACTTTTTAGTATGGGTTATTGGCTTTTTGGCTAATTTGATAACTTTTTGACTAAAACAGAAGGTTTCCAAACGAGGCCTAACGGTACTGAGAGAATTATCTTCCTACTACTATTCAGCTTGCTTGTTTTCTCTTTTCAGAAAATACTTTTCAAAAAATTATATTTTCTTATTTTTTATGTTTTCTTATTTTTATTGAATTTTTTTAATATTTTTAACAATTTTTTACTTTTTAGACACACCTAACATAAATACACCTAAAAAGTAAAAAATTATAAAAAAAAATCTTTTAAAAATTCACTAAATACCAAAAATACAAAAAAAAAATACAATAACTCAGTACATTTTTTGTATTTCTATGTATTTATTAATTTTTAAAAATATTTTTTCACAAATTTTTTACTTTTTAGATACATCTAACTAAGGTGCATCTAAAAAAGTAAAAAAAAAATGTTTAAAATTTAAAAAATATTCACTAAAATCAAAAGAATACGAAAACTAAAAAACTCAATTTTAAAAAAACTTAATCCATAAAACTCAAACCAAACACACTGATGATTATTATTATTATTATTATTATTACATGCAAGGGATGGAGGTTATAGCGATTTTAGTTTAGACTCGACTCATTTGATATTTTGGATACGGGTTTTATTGCCTAATACGATTGTTCATATCTTATTTCTTATTATTTCTTATTGAGTTTGGTTATTTGAGTGTCTTGGTTGCGTTTGGAACAAGTTGGGAGTTAGTTTTTCAAAATGATTTCTATCCAGATTTTGGCTTCTTCTCTCAAGCGACATTTCTTGCGCTCGAACGGCCTTTGAGAACTCTTAATACTTTTGTAGGCCTGCAAAGATACTGAGAGTTGGCATTCTACACTTGAGGTCGAGCGATAGTCCTTTGTCTGTAAAACTTCTGGGAGTTTGTATTCTTTGTTCGAGCAGTCACTTTGTGCACTTGAGCAGTCACACTATTGTATCTGATTACTCGAGCGACAATTCCCGTACTTGAACGGTTTGCGCGTATATCAGTCCATAAAGTCACCTTTTTGGCTCACTTTTTCATATCTCTTTGTCTCTAAACATTCTAAAAACTCTAGATTAAGACTCTCTTTCTCTAAAACTCACTTTCTCTCTACAAATACACCTAGATCCATTGATTTCTTCACCTGTGTCCCTTTGATAAAAGGTAGAACACTCCAAGAGCTTATTTTTTATCAGAGCAAAGTTGGGTTTTGGCGTTGTTGAAGTTTCTTCATTCTTTTTCTTGTCTTCTAAACTTAAAGTAGGGATCCTCTGCATTTTCTTATGATTTTTAACTTAGTTATTTAGTATTTTCTAAAACAATATTGTGATTTGGAGATTTTGGACAAAACTAAGGTTTTGGGTTAAAAATCAAAATAGGGGTTTTTCAAAGAGATTGTTGGAAAAAGATTGAGGAAATGTATTTATTATTGAGTTATGATGAAATGAGGAATTTTTATCTTTGAAATTGATTTATAAAAGAAATGGGAATTTTGCTATAAGAATATCAAATGTTGATTTTGTAATGATAAATGAAATTGATATTGGAAATGTAGAATTGGATTGATGTTGATGAGGATGGCGGAATTGGATATGTATTATCACTCCCATCTTAGGATTTTCGGAAAGTTTATCTTTATGAAAATTATTTTTCTGTTTAGAGATATTTGTTTTGGGCTATCGGTAGATGATAGTTAGGATTGTTGTAGAAATTGCATGAGAACTAGGATGATTGAAACTATTTTCTCATCTATTTACATTGGGAATTGTTACATATTAACACATTGAAAATGTTTGATATTTTGAGAAAAATAGGTGAATACATGGTGAATCTAGATAGGGGGTGTGGTTATGATGTTAAGTTGGCCTGTGTGTCCTTGGTGAAAGACCAAAAACCCGCGTGGATAGGTGTCGAGCTTTTCGGTTAATACCAGTAATAATGACAAATTGATAGTGCTTATATAATCTACTTTCCGACACGTACCTAAAGATTCACGGAGTTCTATTCACAGTCCTGCTTTCTATTGAAAAAGAAACGTTTTATGAGTTGTGTTACAAACCTGGCATTGCATGGTTTTGGAAAAATATATAAATGTTTGTCATGAGCATTGTATATGCATTCACTTTATGACTTTGTTAAGATTCATAAACTGTGTTAGAGTATTTCTATTGGGTTTTGACTCAACCTATGTGGGGAAACCATTTTTAGGTGCTGATGATATGTCTCCACTAAAAACATAGCTTGGGAGAAACTTGATGCTGAAGGCTTCTTCTTGTTTATTTGTTGTATTTCTTTCTGTACAAGCCGAAGGTTTTAATTGTATTGAGCTTGGACTCACTTTTGTTGTAACTAAGTGTTGTCTTGGAAAGTTATAACCTTTAAGACATTTAATTACCTGTTTAGCTTAAATTTCATATCTTTTGTCTATAATACATGCTATAAATTCAGAGCTAGGACTTATGAATGTATAACCACATATATTATCTTTTGTACATTCGAGATCATATGAAATGAAGGGTATTATATTTTGTATTATATCTTTATTTCATTATCATCATGAGATGGTTTCATTGCTAATTTTTTTGGGGCGTTACATGGATCATTCCAAAATACCACACCTTCTCTCTGGTCCACAAATGTGTACCCATTACACGCCCAATTTTAATAATCTAATTTGTTTAATTTGTCAATCAGTAAGTATAAATAGTTCATGATAAAGAACCAAATAAATCTAATAAATCTAATAATTATAATCATATTATTTTATTATATTTATCTTTAAAAAATTCAATAGTTTATTTTTAAAATTATTCTTATCGTTTATTATTTTTTAAGATAAGTATGAAAAAAAAAAATAAATAAATTACACTAACTTTCCTTGATGTTTGGAAAAATACAATAAACTCTATAATTAGGAGGAGAGAAGAATTCATCTAATTTTAT